ATTATGCTACTTTCTTCCACGTTGCCTTCCAATTTACTTTGCTTTTCCTTTTATGTACTTTGCCGTGTCGATCGACATTTGGCCATGGACGCAGGAGAATCTGTGACGATGTCATGAATTTCCTTGCTCTGATTTTGTTGTTTGCATAGATCGCGGGTGTGAAAAAAAGGGCTGAGCTTGTTCAGCCCCGGGGCGTCGGGGTCATCTGAGCTTGTTTGTTGTGAGGTGATACGAGCGAGTTGTGGAAGCTACACGGTGTGAGGAAGGGATTGGAGTGTCGATGGAAGGGCCAAGGTGGCCTGCTGGTGGTTTGGATGGCTATCTGCATCTAAGCGAGGGGAGAATGTCGGGACGTAGGTATACTCTAAAAGCCTGTCATTACGAAAAAAAAATTTCAAAGGAAGTTTCTCTCAAGTTTGTTTTGGGGTATGTAGTGTGGGTTGCAGTTATCCGGTTGCATGTTCATACATTAATCTAGGAGGTAGGGTCAAATTTAGTCCTGAGATATTTGCAAGATAGCCGTGCTTCAGCTTAAGCATGGAAGACGGGTCTTTCAGGTCCATTCTCTTTCTCTTCATCGCCTTCTTCCACATACTCGAAACCAAGAGCTCGCCAATTCAATTCTTTTCTCCAGTGCAGCCCGTAGTATCCCCTCTCCTCTTGTCCTTCCGTATCAGCCTCGGCAGAGGTATGACCGTTAGCACCAGTATCCTCATGATCGATCTCGTCAGTGGTAGGAGCAACAACCGGTTCAGAGGCAAGGCCTCCACTTTCCAACCTCCCACGTCTGGGGAAAATTACTGCCCGGAATCGCGAAAGGAGCATTCCCATGGAACAGCATAGGCAAGGCTCGTGGGAAAGATAGACGTCCAGGTCTGTACAAAGATAACCGCCCTGAGAGCGGGTGCGGATGCGGGAAGTTGCTGAGGTCGTAGTTGGTATGGGGGGATCAGAGATAGCCGCTGTAGAAGGAGGAGGGGCAGGTAAAGGCGGGTGATCAAGCTGAGACTGCTCGGGGTTGGATGGATCGATGATAGAGCAAGACTCGGGGTTTGGTTGTTCGTGTTTCCTCTTTTTCGGAGAGGACGGAGAAAAAGATGCTTCGTCAATATTGGTACCTGAAGTACCAGAACGATGGCGGTACAAGAAGTATGATTCGAGCGGGCTCAATTTCGCCGTATCTTCTGAGTGTCCTAGATTTGATGGGTCTGCAGTCGATGCAGACACATCACCACGGTTATCATTCTCTCGTCGCCAGCGGGCAACAAGGTCTGCTGCGCGCATCAATGCGTGCAATTCGGGCCCGCCTTCGAAATCTGCATTGTATGTGGTGCTGGCTGGGTTCGGTGCTACACCGGGATGTAGCTGTGCCTGGGAGGGGGCACCAGCCTCGGAGCGGGAGTATCGCGCATCGCCGGCAACTGCAAGAACTGCTTCATCCCAATCGGCTGTCTCGTCCGCTCCAGACTCCCAGCTTGCGGCAGAGAGCTCCTGAATGGCCGGGTCGACTATCACTGCGCCTACACCGCGGCCGAGCCCGGATTGTTCTGCTTCCTCTGCGACTTTGCGCGCGAGGGACAGATAGTATCCAGCTCGTGGCTCAATGGATTCCTGTGCGCGATTCAAGATCTGAGGAGGCGGGGCAACTGTTGAGCGAGGTGCGGCCGGGTTGAAGACCACCGGCCAGAGGGTCTTGGTCCATGCATCAGCCTGTTTGGCGTTGAAGGGTGGGTAGAGAGGAATTCTGGTGGGATGTAGATAGATCTCTGGGCTTGGAGAATCGGGCTGCGAGGCTTCTTCGGGGGTCTGGCCTGGGGTGGTGGGTGCAGCATTCGGCGCAAATGGAGCGAGTAGGGCTTGAAGTTTGTCAAGGGCAGGCAGGGGAGGGGAGATAAGGACAAAGATTGTCTGCACTGGTGCGGTCAAAGGTGCGCTATGTTCTTCAATTGCTGATCGCAGCTGCGGTGGGAGTATCTCTCTTTTGGCAAAGCGACGGAGGTGAGAAAGTGGGAGGGAGGGGTCTTTGGGGAAGGCAGAGTCGAGAGCCCTGGATGAGAGATTGTCAATTCCGGTCTCAGTATTATTAGTAAAAAGGAATGCGACTCACTTGATTACTTTGGATGCAGCTTTCACGTTGACTTCTGCGACATAGGCGTCGGCTGTTCCTGGGTTAGTCTTGATGTCGCAAGAGAATGTCGCATACCAACCATACCAAAATCTTCTGGAGGTCTTGTCTCTTGAATGGTTCGAATGGGGGTGACCTTCCCGCAGAGGGGCTGGAGGTCCCTGATAGTCTTTTCAATGTCCATTGTGATAGTGTCAAAAAATGAAAATATCCATGGGCAACGTATTGGAGTATCGCTCCACCGCGGGGCTAGAATGAAGCGGGACAAAACATGTTCATGTCCGTCACAACCAGTTCCAATGGCAGTCTGAGAGACACCAAAAGAGGAGGGCTGGCATTCAGGTCTCAGGTATGGCAACCTCAATTGGTCAAGTGAAGGAGATTAGGAAGAAGTTCAAGTAGGAGACAAAAAAAGGGAAAGCTGTACAAAGAGCAAACATTGCAAACATCGGTCCCGGCCTTACTGTCTAAGGAGATATGGAGATGCTCAATGTTATAAAGAGTTAAATATTCAAAGTTTGTGTATTTTAAGACAAAAGTGAAGATCGGGAATTTGATCGTAGGTACCAGTCATCACCCATAAAATATCAAACGCCGAATCGTTCCGCTGTAAATGAATCGCTGAAAAGGAACATGGCATCGTCCATCGACCCTTGATATATGCTGAGATAGATCCCTGTTCTATAGTGCCATGACGTCTGATGTGTGCGTTCCTCCATATTAGAACAAAGGAAAGCAATGATGTAGAGGACTACATCAGCGTCCCTGAAATGCAAGTCGTACGTATTAAATCACACCTCGAGTGACTCGGTGATGAGATGAAGAATCCACACATGCACAGCTGACTCGAGACCGGCCCGAGTTTGCTGTGGCAAAACGATGTTTGTGCAGAGTTCGCATCGGGGGCCCCGGGTGATTGCGCGTTGGTCTAGCCTGACGCTGGAGCAATACCTGTTGCAGGTGCAATACCGGGTGGCCCGGCCATGGTATCGCCTTTGCTGCAGGTGTGTTCAATCTCAAAACCGTCGCATCGATCAACGAGGCTTTGATAGTAGTCCACAAGCACTTCCGGCTGTGGGACGATCCGCCATTCGACTCGGAAGAGGAATTCCAGTTCAAGCATGGCCAATTCCGTCATGCCAATTCCGCCAACTCGAGCATACGTCTTGTTGGTCCAGAAGCTGTCGCTCAGTCCCTTGCTGGCGACAGTAGCGCTGGCGATTAGGAATCGATGGATGGTCAGACTCGACACGGTGAAAGCGGGATACATCGCGCAAAGTCGATCGATGTAGTAGACCATACTGAGAAGAATGGGGGGTGAGAGAGTGGCGTGAGTCGTCAGTCGCTGCAGGTAATCTTGTACGGAGATTCGGGGCGGAGAACGTGAGTGGAAGCGAGTTAGACGACCCTGGTGTAGTGGAATCTTGTCGTTGAATCGGATCAGCTCCATGAGCATGCTGGAAATCAGCACTACCATGTCACGCGGCTCTGCGAATTCGTATTCCGCGGGTAAAATCTTCACCTCCGGCTTGGAGGCTCGCAAGCGCTTCGACTGGGGACTCTCCAAGTCCTGGCCATCGGACTGACCCCCCGGCGTCGCAGCCGGTGGGTGATGGTCACTTTGGCTATTGCGCTTGTTGGAGCCTGAGGTGGTAGGGGCGAGCATCGAGGGGGCGGTGGAGGAAGCCGGGGGTGGGTTGGCAGAGGCTGTCGCTGTGGCCACAGCGGCAGTGGAGGGACTGGCTTGGGGGGCGGTGGAGGCTAAGGCCGAGCTGTTCGGGGTCTTCAGAGAATCAGATGCAGATGCGCGTCTGTGTTGAAGATCCCCTGAGGTTTCAGGAGAGGAGGGATCGACGGTATGTCGATTCAAGGCCGAACGAAGTTCCTCAATGGCCAGACGCGAGGAACGAGGACTATTGAATTGTGGAGCGCCAGCAGGTTCATAGTGTAAATGCGATCCGGAAGTAGGGAGCGGGGAGCGCAAAGCAGCCGACGAGGGCGAGGGCGAAGATGCCAACATAGTGGAATGTTACCAAACCGAGCATTCACAGTGCAAGGTCGGACCACGTGGGTGCACAGTCAACGGGGCGCTGACGCTTGTTTAGGTGCACGGCCGGCCTCATCCTAGGCTCAAAAGGATGAAAAGCAAGCAAGGGCTGTAAAGAGGCGAGAAAGAAGAGAGGGGAACAATAGTCTGGGATGAATCTGTAGATGTGAAAATCTTGATTTCTTTGTAGTGAGGTAATTACATTCAGCCCGTCACTGGCGGGAGTGGTCCCCATGACTGTATTATTACGGTATATTGTATTTTATCTTGGCAAGTCGGATTACATCTATTGTGAGTGGCTATATTGTTTGATACTAGCATTGGCAGTAGAGATCCAAGCAAGCTAGAAGGGTCTAGAGTGTTGGGGTACATTTGGGTCCTTCTTATAGGTCTCTAATCCTTAGTCTGCGGCTTAAGGTAGGCTATTGGTGTACACACCACTAATAGCATATGAAAAGGCTTCCCAGATATTCTATAGTAGGCAAAGTTCAGCTACATAACATGTATGTACTTACCTCTACAACCAAAAACGTAGAAATCAACGCCGTATCCCCCAATATCCCCACAGTCCTGTATACTTCGTGCCGATATCCGGTATTGGGCGGTACCCGCTTCAGGTGGCGGTGACGTCGGGCAGAACAAAGTGCGGAGTACTTGCGCTTCGGTTGCGGGATCTGACCTCCGGCCTTACTATTCCGGCCATCAAGTTGCTTCACTAATTTTTACATATATCTTTCAATTATCGCAGCAACCCCCCAGGGAAACCCTCAATATATCTATTCAACGTGTCATTGATAACCTCCCGCTGGGAGGGGTGGTCGCCGGATGATGACGCGAGCTGCCGCACCGCCGATTCTGGAGCAGCTCCAAAGCGCCGAATCGGTCTCTGCTCAGATTACAGCTCTACGAGCTTTGAAAAATGAACTGATCGGCCATGACCAGCGCAAGGAGGCCCTCGTTGCTGAGGGTATCATACCCGCCCTCTCACAGGTGCTGACGTCGAGATGGCCGGCAACGAATCAGAATGAAACCGCACTTCCCCAAGACCGATCAACCCAGAAAAGCCCAGAAGACTGTGAGGCCTGTCTTCAAGCAACTTTGGTTGTGGGAAGCTTGGCACAAGGTATGTGAACATTGGAGCTTTGCCTCTGTTGTCATATCAAGCGTATTAACTGATTCTACTATGAACAGGTGGACCGACCTTTCTTACTCCGATATTTGCCAGCAACATATTGCCGAACGTTCTTTCAATACTTGCGTCAGAAGATTGCCCAGAATCCTTCTGTCTTCCCATTCTACGGCTTCTGAACACAATTGCAGACCGACTACCGCTGCAAAGTCAGGAAAAATGGCCTCGAGACACCCAGCTCGCTGATCTGGTCTTTTCGGCCTCAAATGTCTACTCTCTCAAACGAATTATCCTCCAGGAATACAAGAACCTGCGCAGCCAGGCCGCCATTGAGCTATCTGCAGCCCTGATCGGCAAACTTTGCACCGAGGAAGCTCATAAGACAGCCATTGCTCTATCTGGGACTCTGGATGCCCTGGCTCTCAAGGTTGCCTCGTTCGTTGTGGCTCAAGGATTTGTTCTACCTGGTGCAGAGGGCGATCTACCACTCCCGGCCCCAGAATCCGCCCGTCTTGCGCCAATTCTGCGGGCAGTTAGTGTTACTATTGAGCAGTCTAAGTGGAGGGCTGAACACTTTTTGTCCTCGCCAGGTATCACCATGGTGTTCCCAAAACAAGTTCCAGACTTTGCACCGGCAGACATCAAGAAAGCTCCCTGGGGCCATACTTATCTGTCTGGCTCTGCAGTACCCCGCCACCCCGGAGCTAATCCCATAGATCAGCTTTTGCCCTCAATTCCCCAAGCACACGTCAAGTCATCGTCCAGCTCTACTAATTTTCCACCTCTTGGCTACGGGGGCTCACAACGCCGACACAGCCATTCTTTCCCGACAGCATTTTCACTTCCTGAGACACCTACCCCGGAAGACGATGAGAACTCTATTGTGCCCTGGCTCATCTATATTATCCGCTCAGAAAGTGGCATGGTGCGACTGATGTCTGCCCGTCTCGTCACAGCGCTCTTTAGATTAGGGCTCGCCAAGAAACACAGAGTTTCGACCTTCAGTTATCTGTTGATCCCCGCTTTGGTTGAGATGCTCAACAAAGATTTCCGCATATCAGAAGAAGATGGTGCTAACTACGACGGCCTGCTCCCGCCGATCCAACGCCTCAAAGAAGAGGCACCGGCAGTGCTAGCCAGCTTGGTGATGGACGACCAGGAGCTGCAGAGACATGCAGTGGAAGGTAACGCGCTCAAGAGATTGTCACAACTCCTCAAGGAAACCTACAATCCTGTTCCAGACAGCAACCGGCCGATGTGGAGTGCAGAGGATGCCCCGGCCCGGGATCTTGAGTCACTTCCATTGGAGTGCCGGCTCGGGCCTTCAGGCTACTCCCCGGCTCTATGTCATATAATGCGTTACCGAGAGAACATTCTGAAGGCATTGGCGGCGCTCGTTCCATTCAAAGATGAGTACCGCAAAGCGATTTGCGAGCAAGGCGTGGTACCTTACATTATCGATGCACTCAAGCCACGGCCTAGTGATGCGCCGGCCGACACCTCGATGCCCAAAAATACTGCAGAGGATGGCAACCCAATCCCTACAATTCTAGCTGCTTGTGGCACAGCTCGCATGCTGACAAGATCGGTGAGTGTGTTGAGGACAAGCCTTATCGATGCTGGTGTGGCTGAGCCACTGTTCGCCCTCATTCGACATTCCGACATAGAAGTACAAATTGCAGCTACAGCAACAATCTCCAACTTGGCTTTGGACTTTAGCCCCATGAGAGAGGTTTGTCGATTTCTTGTCATCTAGCACATCGAGCTCACTGCTAACACTTTTCTCAGTCCATAGTTTCTGCCAACATCATTCCCATTCTTTGCGAACACGCCCGCTCACCCAACATCAAACTACAGATTGAATCATTATGGGCAATCAAGCACCTGGTCTATGACACTACAATCGACATCAGAATAAAGATCGTTGAGAATCTTACACCCCAATGGATTATGCAGGTCCTCTCCCGGGATCCAGTCCGTGCAGTGTCCAGACAGAGCGTGGAAGAAGAGATAGACCAGAACGCCGGGATTGCGATGGGTCGATCTAACTCGGCGGGGGAACAGGTCGACATTCTGAACCCAATGGAAGCGTCCGCTCAATGGGATGAAGATTTCAAGATGACTGATACCATGCCTCCTTCGAAGATGAGCCTGGAAATGTTTGTGCAAGATGCAAGCCGTCGACGCAAACTTGTTCTGAACGGATCTCTGGCGCAGACGACACAGTCTCGGCACGACGACATTGCTGTTCAAGAGCAGACATTCGACCTGCTACGCAACGTTACCTGTGGCGACCACGCCACCGAGATGATCGACTATCTCTTCAAAGAGATCGGTCAGAATGAGTTTCTGGATACAATCGCGGAAGCTCTTCGACCACGAACCATCCAGCTCCCCCACCGCCGAGAAGTGAGCAGTCAGGCCAACCAAAACCTCCGCGTCCCCAAGGAAATCATCATCGCAGTCGCCGCCCTCCTCATTCATTTGGCAGCCGGACACCCACGCCACCGCCGTGCTGTTACATTCCACCGGAGCATATTGCCTCATCTGGCGAACTACCTCAACCATCCCAATAAAGATGTGCGACGAACCTGTGTCTGGGTGACTATCAACCTTGCTTTCGAGGAAGATCAGAATGACTTCGAGGGCTGCCGGGAGCGAGCAATCCGGCTTCGCTCGCTTGGATTTGGGGAACGGTTGGCTGCTCTTCAGGACGATGTAGACCTGGATATAAGGGAGCGCATTAAAGTTGTGCTGCATTTCTTGAACAGATTGGCCCCTACCTCATAATTTTTACATTCAAATTCACAAAACGCTTTATGAACTGGAGTATAGGTAGCAACATTTGTATATTTCTATTTTGGCTCTTGTATTCGGTATTTTTTATTTTTACTTATTTATTTTTGATATGATTCAGCTCAATTCTAAGTCCAGGGGAGCCTTCCAAGGTTGGAAAGCACTGTATAGAGACATCTTATCGATAAGAGTTCCTGTGGAGAAAATACGTCATAGCCTTCATCCTGTTCACATCACTCTATGGAGTATCTCTAACATCTCAATTGCAATAACTCTTCTCAGTCTAACTAGAAGTCCAAAAAAAAAAACACACAAAAAATGACCACTGTACCACAGCCCATTCTCCAAGCCCTGTCACTCCCCAGTCCATCCAAGGTCAACCTCTCCGGCCTTGGCTCAGGCTTCACAAGCACAGGCGCAATCCGCGCCCAAGTCCCAGGAAAAGATGGCACCGAAGAAGAGCGCCGGTACTTCGTGAAAATAGCAACAAACGGTAAAGCCGCCGAAGAAATGTTCCAAGGAGAATACGAGTCCCTCAACGCAATCGCCGACTCAGTACCAGGATTCTGCCCACGAGCCCTCGCCTGCGGACCACTAGACAAAGACGGCACAGACTCAAAAGGCTACTTTCTTGTAACGGAATTTCTCGAACTCGGAGGCGCCACGAGTCGCAGCAAAGGTGACGAAACTACACCCACTACACTTGCCCACAGATTGGGCAAGCTACATACCACGCCCGCACCTGCAGACCCAGAAACCGGCCGGCGCAGATTCGGATTTCCCGTGCCGACTTTCTGTGGCGATACAAAACAGCCAAACCGGTTCCATGATAGCTGGGCTGACTTCTATGCGAACGAGCGGCTTCTCACGATCCTGGCTACCTCCGAAGAACGCAATGGGCGGGACGAGGGTCTCCGCGAGGCTGTTGAGCAAACGGCTTATAAGGTTGTGCCGCGGCTGCTAGGTGATGATCATCTGGGGTATAATGCCAATGGCGAGGGAGAGGGTATTATGCCTGTTGTTATCCATGGGGATTTGTGGAGTGGGAATGCGGATCGAGGTCGTATAGTGGGGACCGGTCGGGATGAGACGCCTGGTGATGTTGTTTATGACTCTTCTGCTTGCTATGGGCATAGTGAGTTTGAACTTGGGATTATGCATATGTTTGGTGGGTTTGGGTCCCGGTTCTTTGATCAGTATCATCGTATTGTGCCGAAGACCGAGCCTGTTGCGGAGTATGGGGATCGGGTTGATTTGTATGAACTGTGAGTTTCTCTGGTCTTTGCTTCTTTCCGCGGTTACTGATGCTTTCTGGCCAGGTATCACCATCTGAATCATCATGCTATCTTTGGTGGAGGGTATCGCTCTGGTGCTATGTCGATCATGCAGAAGTTGATCAAGAAGTATGGGAAGGACTAAATGGACTTTTGGTGACTTGTTGCGAGGATTTGAATTAAGGAATTTAAATCAAGAGCCACCTTGTTTGGGAAGTACCTACCCATGAATTTGACTCGTCCTATAGAGCAACCAGATCCTGATTTAGGAAATCCATTCAACGTGTGGTGCGATTTTTAAGGGAATCTCCCACCTGGAGAGATATACCAACAACACTGTAGCAAATTCAACAGGGAAATGCAAGACCTAATTGGAATTTATGTGTTGAGGGAGAACATCCGAAAGCCAACTTCTATACGGAGGGAGACTCCGTATTTGATTGCAGTATACGTCGGGCGGTGTAACCATTTCCTACAGCACGTGACCCTGGATATCAATTCATCGGTGATTGTTCGTCTTCACGTTGCAACATCCGGAATATTGCTCGGAATTACCATCCGTCTAGGAGCATTGCGCTCCCAAATCTACCATGGAGCGTGTTACAAGGGACGTATCTCCCCGTGGGGGCCCGACGATGAACCCCAGTCCGCCAGCCATCCACCCGTCTTTTATACAGGTGGCCAACCCATACATTTTCGAACAAACAGTCCAGAGCTGTATAGAGTCGATGGGTATTAGCCCCACTCGCGAGAATTCCTTGCGTCTCCAGGGCGTGGCGTGGATTGACAACGTGCGGAAAGCTCTCAACCTGTAAGTTGATCCCAAGTCTGATGTGCAGAGGAAGGTCACGATTGTATCAAGATACTGATCAGATTCATAGGCCTATCCGGACTTTCAACACGGCTGTGGGGTACTATCACCGGTTTCGGTTAATGCATCCAGACAATGAGTACAACTTCGCTGTAAGTTCTCTCGGTTGTTGCTGAACGAAACCAGTCTGACCAGTACACAGGATGCGGCAGCAGCAGCCTTGTTCACAGCGTGCAAGATTGAAGACACGCTCAAAAAGTCACGAGATATTGTCTGCGCGGCGTACAATCTCAAATTATCACCCTCGGAGCACCTGGCAGCAGATGACCCTGTAAGTCGTGATGCCCGAGACATTGAGAATGATAGAGTGCTAACACTTCTTTTGAGATGTTTGAAACCAATGCGCGCGGAGTCATCGGCCTGGAACGCCTAATGCTGGAAGCCTCTGGCTTCGACTTCCGAACCCGTCATCCACAGAAGACTCTGATGAAGCTAGGGCGGCATTACGGTCACCCGCAAGGATCAGAGGTTTCCAATCTCGCCTACCGTATCTCAATAGATCTTTACCGCACATTTTCACCCATCAAGCAGAGTTCATCGACGATGGCTTATAGCTCCCTCGAGCTTGCAGGACGACTCTTGGACCAACGCATCGAACCGGTCGAGGTCGGGTTGGACTATGCGCATTGGAACACAAACCGCACGGATGTCATGGGTATGTTTCTTTGGTGATGTTCATCAAACCTACTTCTCGCCTTCGTTAGTCACCTCGGAGTCTCATAGCTGATGATCAACCTCAGAAACCATCTTCGACCTCCTAGAACTTTACACTCACTACCGCGGACAGACCACCGTCGGACCAGAGTTCCCTGCGGACAGATTCTTGACCGTCCGCATTCCACTCAACCAAGAAGCAAGCACACAGCATATCCCACGACACGCTCCGTGGGTTGACCAACCACGCAAGCCAGCCAATGGGACCATCAACCATGCAGGTTATCCCCCAAGACCCGCTCATCCTTTAACCCCCGTTGCTGCGAATGGTGATCGCCAACGAACAGGCGAGCGAGGTCGTGATGCTGCTGTGCGGTTCACGATTGATCCGATATGTGCAGATGATGAGAGGCGGCAGGTTGCGAGGTACTTCAATGTTGAAATGGAAGAGTATGAGGTTGAAGTGTAAAAGGAAGAGAGCGATGCTGATACTCCTCTGCGCTCCATGATGAGGGCGACTGCCCGTCGACATACACAATCCACGATTTCCCGATACCCCAAACATCTATGAACAGCGCGTCGATAGAGATGCAAATGAAAAGACCCATTCTAATGACCAAACTATTATTTTCGTAGAACATCAAGATTACCTTACAGCATTTGCTACATGTATGTAATGGCACCACGTCAGAAATCAAGACGAAAGACAAAAGTTCAGCTTCAACATTTGAATTGAAAGCTATGTACAATCAACAGTCCATCCCAATCGCTACGGATCTTAGACAGCCGCAAAATTAAAAGGGAACCAGACTGCGAGGTCAAAAAAAGAGCCTGGACATATCCTCACCCATCCTCCCTCATCTGCCTCTGTGGAAGGATATGTCCATTCCACACTTTGAAAATATAGCAATGCTCCAGATCGGTATGCCCCAACCCAGAAAACGAGTCATCATTTTGGGTTCAGTCCAGAGCCCGACATCAGAAAAAAAGAGGAAAAGAAAAAAAGTACTAAACAAGTGTAAGGCAGAAAAAAAGAACAGCCATGAAGTGAAAAGGGATCAGCCCCGTGCCTCGGCATGCAAGATTGGTCGTCTTGATCCCGATTCATTATGGTCCTTGCCATTGGTAATTTTTGTCGGATGTGGATGTCGTGTTGAAAGACGGGTAAGGTAAGGCAGGTAGGGGGGTTGCATATACATTTCATGCATGCACATTTTGATGCTTGCATGCATATTTGGAGAAACCCAAGCTGGCCCCGAATGAAGCAAAAGGGAAGGCGGGTGGGGAGATCGACACGGCATACGCAATCGGGTGAGAGTCGCAAGGTGGAAAGCACGAGGTTGAGTAATCTACCTCGGTATGGATGGAATCGGAGAAAGAAGAGCGTCATAAAGGTTGTAGTTTTTCTCGGGGAGGCCGGACATGTTCAGATTCATCGGCGCTTGAGCTCGGTGACGAGACACTCAAGGATCTAGGGGAATTTAGTAACTTGATATTTAAACGAGCACCAAAGAAACTTACCGATTCTGACACGGCACCCTGGTTATACAGGTATTTGCCCAAGCCGCGGACGACCTCGAGCTGCTCATCAACTGTGAGGCCGTTGATGGCAGTCTCGATGATATCGCCCACGCTAGCCTTGTAGACAGCGATGAAGCTGTGGTAGTACATGTAAGCAAAGAAACCCATGATGAACTGGCAGTCCATGCGGTCAGTGATACCACCATGTCCGGGAATGGACTCGCCAAAGTCCTTGATCTTGAAAGTACGCTTTAGGCCAGATGCAAAGAATCCACCGAAAGGAGCGATCAGAGAAGCGAAAGTGGCGAAAGCCAGAATATGGAACTGGATGGGCTCCATGTGGAAGCTATAGTCCAGACCGAAGAACTCAAGGGAGTAGACTTGGGTCATGAAGACTTGGTTTGGCACACACTCCAAACCAGTCAAGACGTTGGATCCCAGGTCGTTGACAGGGCAAATGAAGTACTTATAGCGCATGAGCAAGTTGGTCATGAAATAACCGAATCCAATGGTGCAAATCCAGGCGCCGAGGAAACCCTCGACAGTCTTCTTCGGGGAAAGCTGAATGAGTTGGGTGCGTCCAAAAGTGATACCACAGACGTAAGCGAAGATATCGTTGGTGATCACCAGCGACGCGGGGAGGAAGAACCAGATCATGCCCTCGAAAATGTTGTTCATGACAAAGTGAGCCTGGACAACGATCAGGTACAGAGCCATATGAGTCCAAGCAAACTGAGTGAACTGGAATCGGTAGTGTCCCTTCTGCAGAGATCCGACGAAAAACACGAATCCTAATGAAACATATTAGCATGGACCAAAAGCGCATAGCCGAGGCACTTACCCATGACGTAGAGCGTGAAGCTGATGAAGCGGTGATGAGTTGCAAGCGGGAGAAGCACCTTGTCAACCAGTAAAATGTGCTTGAAGTAGTAGATAACGCTCTCTCCGTACAGGAAATACATAGTCGTGGCCAAGAAATACCAATTCAGAGACTTGGTGAAGCGCAGGTTCTTCTCCTTATTGGGCACATTGGCGATGGCGATGACCTCTTTGAATGAAACGATCTGGATGGCAGTGACAAGGGCGATAATATAGATATGACCGGAGAACATGGCGATGAAGAAACCAGCAATCATCACGAAGGTCCATATCGTGCGGGTGATGAAGGTCTGCTTCTTCTTCTCATATTCAGACTGAGCGGGTTTCTAAATGTGAAGAGATTGTCAGAATGTAGTTCCCCAAATCCATATAGAGCCGAAGCTGACCTCTTCCTGTATCGTGGACGGCTGAGAAACATTTCCATTTTTGTTGAGGCTAGGCTCCGAGGGCACGTCGCTGACGTCGGAGGACACGCTTAGCCGTCGTTCGCCGTTCCGATGTTGGAACCTGACATTGCGGCGAGATTTCGACATGATGAGGGGTGAGAAAAGGGGATGGACCAGAAACGGATTCTGGGAAAGGGAGTGGAGAGTGCAGAGTGAGTGAGGATCGTCGGATTAGAAGTTGATGAGCTCATGTGAATTGCGCCGAAAGCGGTCAGCTCCGTGTTTATGTTTTTTTATGTTATTGTATAGTGAGTTATGCCAGTGTTCGAATATTATTTAGTTTTATATACCCGCTTCTAAAGATCTCTAGGATTTGTTGTTCGTAGAAATTGGGGGGAGTTGCAGGTTGCAGGGTTAAGGGTGAACTGCCGGTCTGCAATCTGAACTTGAACACTTCTTCCCGCATACTCCATTCATGGCGGGGGCATGGACGACGACGACGACTACGGCTCCGACGAGTTCGACTCCCTGCCACCGGGTACGTTGTACGAGTTAGAACAGAATGCTTTCCAAGCAACTCAGGCGACGGCCTCACAGCACTTTAGTGTCCCTTCGATAAACAGCAATTCCGTTCTGCGCGCCCACGCAGCGCCCTCTAATCACACTGGTTCCCGGAGACCACCGCCTCGCTTGCACACCGGATTGACCAACGACTACAATACACTGGAGGTGGGTGAACTGGAAGCCGAGGTGTACGACAATGTGGATGGGCAACATGCTGTTCCATACGGTCACCATGCACCCGCTGCTGACATTGAGTGGACTGTCAATGGCGAGATGGGCGATGCAATGGAGCTGGACGAGGGCTATGGGCAGATGAATATGGCTGAGATCAATGCACGCCTGGCGCAAGTTAGTCCCCTGGAACGAGAGCTTGTCTTTGGAAAGGTATCTAACAGCATATACAGATGGAACAAGAAAGAGAACAGATGATACGGGAGCTAGCCGAGGCCAAAGATCAAGTGGCCATGAAAACCGGAGAAATCAGCATTATTCGATCAAAGCAAACAAGGATGACCCAAGATTATGACCGACAGCTCGCAGCTCTACGGAAATCACTGGCTGATGAGACGGCCTCACACAAGCTAGAGGTAGAGGCGGCGATGTCCGAAGGCAAGGTGCTGGCAACGGAGAACGTGTTCCTTCAGCAGGAACTTGTGGAGGAAGCGTACCAGGCTCGCAACTACAAAACAAGGTATCGAAACGAGGATAAGGCGGCTCCAGTCACTCCCAGGAAGTCCAGGATACTGCCGTTCCGCGATGGATTTGATGATGATGAGATCGCCGTGGTGTCACCCAGCAAATCTGCAGCACGTTCTAAGCGAGCCACGCCGACAGTGCCTGGGAAGCGGAAACGACAAGCAAGTCAAGATAGCCCAACACCACTAGAGCTGAATCCTGCAGGTGCGGAGCTCATCATGACTGATGCTTCGGTCGATGCCGCAGAAGTTGCACAGGCGAAACGCAAGTCTGCACAGTCAGGTCGCAACCAACGGTTCATGATGCGGCTCCTAAGTCACAAAATGCACCCAAGCGAGGAAACAGACCTCGAAGCAATGGCTAAGCTGGCCTTTCCCTCAGAGCCAGATCGCTCCATGTCCAGGATTGTTATGGATAGCATAGCTCATGTCGACATGGACAGCTACATAGTAGAATATACGCAAGCGATTGCCTCGTTATGGCAGCGTGCAATCAACGAGAAGTTCTACGAACCGATTCCTCGGTTTGCCTCTATCGTCCGATTCATTCTCATGTCGGATGATACGCCACTTCCTGAAACTATCATACCTCTAGTCGGAGTTCTACAGGATTCTGTGGAAGTCAATGCAGTCCCTCGGTTCAAGTATGCTCCAGCATCAAGAGACAAACGAGTGGCAGGACAGACACCACAATCCGATCTCCAGCCTCTAGTTGACTCAACTGAAGCCTTGCGGTTGCTCTACCGAATCGCTTGTGGGGTATTGCACGACAGGAGAGCTCTCCAGACTTTTTGGGAGAACATCCGGATATCTTTCATTCTTGTGATGCTACACCCGTCGCATCCACTCGGGGATATTGTGCTATTAATGAACCTATTGTCGACAAGCATTCGTCCAAACTCTTTCGGGTCAATCAGAACATCGGACCAGGACCAGTTGGATGTGCAGAAATGGATCGTGGACCGCCTGACACACATGCTCAGCGAGCCAGCAATACCAGACGAAGGCGTTGAGCCATACACTCCATACGACATCTGTGCCATGCGACTCGAGGTCCTGCTACTGCTGGAATCGTTAGCATTCAGTCCAACAACTGTATCCCAAGGTCACGCAAGTGCCATCCTGGCATTGCACCCCAATGCACTGGCACGCTTATTCCGGTCGATGCATGACGAGCTAGATGCGCTGTATTCGTACCCGCCCGAGCAAAACCTGCGCGTTTCCCTAGTCAATGGACTCATGCGGTTGATTTTCGGAGTCATGCGTCAGCATGGGCCCTCAATCAACATGCAGGAGAAGCTGGCTTGTGTACCCGGCAGCAAACAAAAGCATCTCGTTGTCTTGACTCGTTTGGCGTTCTGTGATGGGACCGTTCTGGAGGCGGGCATCGATGATGAAACTGTTGATATGGCTCACGAGCTGCT